TATTAATAATATATCAAATAAAATTAAATTGAATGGTGGAATGATGAGAGGAATATTTGTAGAGGTAGGAATTAATTTAATATTTTTTTATCCATTTTTATTTTGGGTTGTGCTATAAATACCCTCTTAACCAATTTTACCCCCCTAACATCAATCAAATCAACTTTTTACTTTTGATTTGACATTATTTTTTTCTTTTTCTTTTTCTTTTTTTTTTCTTTTTCTTTTTGATTTTTTTTCCTTTTATTTTATATTTTAATATTATTACTATTAAATTCGGATGACATTTTAAAATTCGGTAAACATTATAAATTCGCACGACATTATAAAATTCGAATGACTTTTTTGTCCGTAATTAAAAAATATAAAAAAAATATTTAAAAACCGATTTTATATAACCGTTTGAATTTATAATGTCTTCCGAATGTTAAAATTTTGTATGAAATTTATAATAATAATAATCAAAATATAATAATAATTAAAAAAGAATTAAAAACAATAAAAAAGAAATTGAAAAAAAAAACAAAAAAACAAAACACAAAAAATCAAATAGGGGTGGAATTGAAAAATAAAGTGGATACTTATAAAAAAAAAAAAAAAAAAAAAAAACCTTTTATTTTTTCCTTCGTTGTTGAACTCGATTTTTTCCTTCGTTGTTGAACTCGGGTGAACTCCTAAGTCTTAAACTGATGATGTATGATGTTACATGTCACATGTATGTATGCAGAGAGAGGTACTTCGTCAGGTATACAGATCCACTTACTAACTCAAACTCTCCGCTCCTCCATTTCAATAACAACAACATAACCGAATCTTTCTCTTCGCATCATTCCCCGATCAAAACCAACCAAATGAGCCCTAATTTTTCTTCTTCTTCTTCTTCTTCTTCTTCTTCTTCTTCACAAATGTAATTAATTTTCAGGTACTTGCTGTTTTTCTTCTAAACCTTCTATGTGTCGGTATCTTTTAGTTTCTTTTTTCTACCCCAGTAACATACTTTCTTTGTTCCTTCGATGTTTCTAGTTTGTTACTACGTCAAAGGTCGAACCTTTTTTAGTTTTATATGATTAGGGCTCAAATTTGGAATTGGTTCCTTTGTTGATTATTGATTGCGAAAGGCTAATTGTATTTATATGCGATTTTTTGACAGTTGTGAAGTCGATGCTGCTTGTGAAACAGAAAATTGTGACAGGGAGGGTTTGATTAATTGACTTTGTTGAATGTTATTTATATGGAAACCTTCAACACCTCAGAAACCCTAATCGAGGGTTTAGTGTCATCTAAACAAGATGGAAATGTGAATCTAGTGGAGGAAACGGCTAAATCGTTTGATATGGAGGAAGAGAAGTGTGATGAACCTGTGTCAACATCAGTTGCAGAAAATGGTAGCGGGGTTGATTTGAGTAGCCATGCAGATGTTCCTATGAAAGGTATTTCCCTTTTTGTGGAATTAACTGGCGATATTTCACCTCATTTGGAAGAACATCGATCATCAAAGAGAAATCAAGGTGAGGTTATTGCTGCTTACCAACAATGTGGGGTCAATGTGGGTGATTTAGTGTGGGCAATGATCAAGAAACAATCATGGTGGCCTGGAATTGTTTGTGAAGCTTCTAGTGTACAGATAAGGGAGAATGGACTTCTGATAAGATGTTTTGGTAATGGAAATTACATTTGGTGTCGACCTAATGAACTCAAGCCATTCATTGAGCACTTTCAAAGGTTTTCAAACCAAAGAAACTCCAAAAACTTCTTTGGTGCCATAGATAAGGCTTTAGCTGAGGTTGGTCAACGTGTAAAGACAGAGTTCACTTGTTCTTGTTTCTCTAATATGGTGATGAAAAGAAGGGGTAATGTTGATGATCTTTCATTGACTCGATTTGAGCCTGTAAAGTTTCTTGAATATATAGAAGATCTTTCAAGAAATGTTTCTATGCCTAATAAGATTGATTTTTCCATCAATATGAATTTCTTGTCTGCTTTTAATCATTCATTAGGGCATTGCCAAATCCCAATTCATCAACTTAAGCCTTCTTGGAGTCCATCAAAAATAAAAACTGAGGACGAAAATGGATTTTTAATAATGGAAGATGATACGGAGGGTAGTGGTGGAAAATCTGAAAAAGGATATGAAACAAGAGAAAGAAGGAAGAGTAGGTTTTTGTCATATCCGGGAGAACAAAGAAAGGAAGAATTGAAGGATGATGATAATGGAGGAATGAAATTGAATAAAACTAATGAAATGCCATCGAAGAAGAAGCCAAGAAAGAAGTATACCAAAAAGCTTGTCATGAAGGAAGATCCATTACCAGTAAATATATGTTCATCTGATGTTCTCTCTGAGCTTCAATCTGCAGCTCAAAATTGTGGTTTTCCAAGTGAAAGTGACAAATTTGATTCTGTTAAACGTTTTGTAGCTGGATTTAGGAAATGGGTATTCAGTGATTCCACAAATGGAATCACCACCGGAATAAAAACTCCGGAATCAGAGAAACCCAAGAAAGTGAGAAAGAAGAAGAAGAAATCCAGTTCACTGATTCTAGATTTCCAGAATGCTAATCCTGTTCTTGTACCTCAATCAATGGCAAATCAAGGAGCTCAAAATAATACCATCTATAATTTTAAAGATCCACAAATGACCAAACCACCCCTTCGTAAACTCTTACCCAAAAGGAGTTTGAACAATATGGACAACAATACCCCTATCCAAGCCTGGAATAGTAATCCCACTCCCTTGCCCAATGTGAACGGACACATGAACATGAACATGAACATGCAAATGAATCCATATGTGTTTCCTTCAATGGAAGGATCAAACCAAGCCATGTATGGATTTGGGTCAACCCAACCATGGTTAATAAACCATGGTCAACCACAGGTGAGTATGGTTAACCATGAGCCAAAAAAGAGAGGGCGAAAGAGGAAACATGTGGAGTTTCAAGCGAATGATGGTTTGATTGTGACACCAGATCTGACCAAAAATGGTGGTGTGAAGAAAAAGGGTAAAAGAGGAAAGAAAAAAGAAGAAACTGGAGTCCCATGTATAGATTTAAGTTACAACAAAGTGAATCAAGAAAACACACAAGTCACAGGTACTGCTTTCCTCTTAAAATTTTCATCAAACTACCCTTTACCCTCCACCCAAGTTTTAAATTTGGTATTTTCTAAATACGGGGAATTAAACGAATCCGAAACGTTTATATCCACTGAAAATCTAAGTGGTCAAGTTGTGTTTTCTGATTCTTCTAGTGCTGGAGGGGCATTTTGGGGATTACAAAATGACCAACCTTTCGGACCTGCCCTTGTTAATTACAGGATTCAGCATCTCAATAACACCGAGTCTATCGAATTCAAGACTCCTATTAAAAGCCCTGTGTTACAAGGGGGGCAAGAAGGGAAATTTGATGCGCCAGGTGTCATTGGTCCGTACATGATCCCGGATTTAAACGGATATGCAAATGAAACTAAAACTAAAAAGATGGAAGAAATTCGGTTGCCTTTAATGGATTTAAGTTATGGGAATGAAGCTTCTTCGGGTACAGCTCTTTTGTTAAAATTCTCGCCACATCACCCGTTACCCTCTGAACAAGATTTGAATTTGGTGTTTTGTAACTACGGGTTGAATGGGTCTGAGACCCGGGTCATGGGTCAAGATTTGACGGGTCAAGTTGTGTTTGTGAACCCGTTGATTGTTGGAGAGGCAGTTCAAAAATTGGAAAAGGAAAGACCATTTGGGGAGTCCCTTGTAAGTTATAGGGTTCAGCATTTGTATAGTGTTAAACCCGCAATTCCTTTAGGGATTAAAAAACCTGTTCATGTTCAACAAGAGGGTGGCAATGGTAATAATGGTAATGATCTTGGGGTTATAAGAAAGAATCTTGAAATGATGAGGGTAATGTTGGAAAAAGCTGGAGATGGGTTGTCGCGTGAGATGAGAGGGAAACTTGAGAGTGAGATTAGAGGGTTGATGAATAAAATTAAAGTGAGTGGGATGGATGGGTGTTCTTCCTCTTCTCTATGATTGGTGGCTTTGAATTTCATTAGGGTTTTTAGAATGAATGCTCTCTTTGTAATTTAACCAATAACCTCCTTTTTATTTTGGATTGCATTGAGAGAGGATGATAGAGAGAGTGTTTTGAAGGATTATGTTTTGGATAGCCAAGTGGTTGGTTCATCATGAATTTATAAGACTCTTATTGGTTCTGAAAATGGTTTTTTATGGGATTCTTGTTTCTAGGAATTCTTGGTTTTGGAACTGAATATATATAAACATGACGAATCATATCTAAATAATTTTTTTTATATGATATAGAAGTGTTGAAGCACCTCTGGGTGGGTTGAACATCACGTAACAAAAGTTTAATTAATTATATTAATAAATTACCAAATAGTTCAAGAATACAAGTTCTCCAACCAACAATTAAAAAGATTACAAACATATGTAAAATACATGATATATTTTAGATCCGTTCGACTTTTCATATGATTGTATTTATTCAAATATATAGTACCCAAATTGTATAAAAACTTCTACTCTTTTATACAAGTTCCATTATTATAAAAACAAAAGTTTAAGATGGTATTAATTCAAATACTAGATAATTAAAAGTCAAAATCATTATTTGTTTCTCTCAAGCACTGAACTGATATTTACCATAATAATTACTTCATACATAAGTGCAAAAGTAAAACCAGTGTTAGAAAACATGAAAAGCCCTAACTGTGAACATGTGCAAAACATATGACCTCAAGAACAAATATTAGAAGAAATTAACCAAGAACTCAGGAAGTTTTACACATAACATGCTGCATAGTCCATAAATCCAGAAGATAAGAAAAGGGTAAAAGTTACAAATATTATTAAAGGACAAATCTTGTTCATGTAAATCCTACATCCAACTTTTTAACCAAAACCAAATCTAGCAAACAATCTTTTGATCAAAAGTACTTCACTCAAAAATCTTCCTACCATCAAGAAACCCTAAAGTAAAAGAAGCATATCACTCCATGACAGCAACACCCCCAACAGCTTTAATCTTCTCTATGATCTCATTCGCCTCTTCTTTAGTAACACCTTGTTTAATCACAACAGGAACTTTTTCAACCATATCTTTAGCTTCCTTCAATCCAAGACTTGTAAAAGCACGAACCTCTTTAATCACCTTAATTTTAGAAGCTGCATCAAATTTCTCCAACTTTATATCAAATGCTGTTTTCTCAACTTTCTCTTCAACCTTACCTGCCCCACCTCCTGCCCCACCTCGGGCACCCAAATCCACCCCTTCAACTGAAATCGACTGCATTTTGGGATGCCTTAGTCTCTCTCTAAGTGTAGGACCTATTTGCATACGCTCTTCAGGGGGTAGGGCTGCAATTTTTTCAGCAAGTTGGATGATTTTGTCAGAAGGTGGAGGTCTAGGGCCATATGGGTCATATGATGCGGGTAGTTTGTACCTTTTGGGTTTGGATTTAGGGTCTGCAGGGACAAAATCGGGTTGAAAAGAACGGATTTGTAAAGGCCCTATGGGGCGCATGCGAATTGACCTAAGAAGTGCTAAAGATTTCATGGTTTTGGTTGTTTTTCAGTAGGAAAGAAGACTCATTGATATGACACTTGTTTGGACCTTCTTACACCTGGAAAAATAGGGGCAGGCTTCAGATACTATCAACATTTCAAGATAACTGGAAGTAATCATTGGTGAGATAATAAGTTCACAGTTTTGTGTAAAAGTTTAGAAATTCACGTAGTCCACACAACCATTCATTTAAACTGTTTTTTCCAGGTATATTTCTGGGTGTTCCATATTTAAAAAACTGAACAAAATCGATTTGGAAACAAACGAGGCATTATATCGAACACCTGGAATGCATATGAAATGGTGCCACAAAGCACAAAGAATCAGCTCCGTATTTCCAAATCCAAATTCGTAATTACATATTCATGGATACACACATACAAAGATAAAGATATCGAAAACCAGAAACTTGATAAGCAATCAAATTGACGCATCAACTAATACTAAAAGAGGGCGGAAAGCGAATGAGAGAAAAGGAAAAAAGAAGTGAAACAGTAACAAATGTAACCGGGGACTGAATCGTTTGACGAACCGTGATTAGAAGAACCGTGAGGCTGCAGAATCGAAGACAGTCCACCGATTTGAAGCTTGAAGGAATCGCCGCCTATGAAATAAAAATGAGCGATCAAACCTTCTTGGAAAAACAATGTATCTGGCTCTTAATTGAACTTTTGGCCCTTGTAGTTTTACTTGATGACACTTGAAGCCCTTCAAGTTTCAACGACGGATAAAATATCAATAATAATTGGCGAATGGGCTAGACCGCAAGGGTTGTGACTTGTGATGACAATTAATAATTTTATTATTGAGTAAGTTGGGCCATACATTTCAAAACCCAATACTATATTGTAGAGTGACTGGCCCATTGTTTATTAATGTTAATGTCATGAGTCATGACAATTAATAATTCGTAAGTTGCTTTTTTAAGTTATTTAATTTTATTTGTATTTAATAGAACACTAATTTTTATTGTGTTCGTATTACATTGTTAAAAATTTAATTGAAAAATGTATTATATAAAACTTTATAGTGGACGCGATGTTAGCGCAAAATACAATTAAATAAATAAATTTTGTCATATGGAATATCATGTCGTCCACAAATTTACCCGGTTACCTCAATTATGGAATAAGAACCTAAAAAAAGTTTAGTAACATATTAAATACTAATAAAATTTAAATGACCTGAAGACAAAACGTTTATTATTGACTGTCATTTTTATGACATTATCTTTAGTATAATAAAATTTAGGTGTAAGTAATATATATATATTATATATATATATATATATATATATATATATATATATATATATTATATATATAGATATATATATATATATATATAGTTATGTTCAAATGAGAACATTTACTGATTTGAAAACAAATGAGAACAAATATTGACCACTAATTAATCCTTATTTATTGGGTATGTAAACGTCTCATACACTCTTTCTCTCTCTCACACACTCTATTACTCTCTCTCTCTCTCTCTCTCTCTCTCTCTCTCTCTCATCTTGAAGATACATCTGGACCACCATCAAGACCGTCCGTCGACCGCCAAAATTTTCATAACGATGCCGGAACCATGGTAACGACCCCGGAAGCATCGTAACATCTCCGAAACCACCAGACGACTGCCTTTTCATTATATCTGGATATGCTTGGTCGTCATCTCCCTCCGCTCCCATTGTCAAAAACCACCTCTTCCGCTTCTCCTCTTTCTGAATCGTCACCAGATCTCGTTTCACCGGCCACAAGATCGTGATTCCCGATTTCGTTTCACTGGTCACAAGATCTGACCGGATGAAGCAGGAATGCTATCATATTTGTTTCCTGATCTGGTTTCAGCGACATCCCCACCTCCACCATCAAACTATAATCGTCGGTATCAGGTTTACATTTATTTTATTGAGATTTCCTTTATATTTTTCCCACTCCTCCTTACAAATATTTCTTCCAATCTACAATTTCAGTTACTTGTGAAGATAAGGAGCTTCAAGCCTACTGACAGAAGTAGTTTTAACTAAGCTTAATCTTGATAAGGATATGAAGTCGTTGCTTGATCGAAAAGAAAAAGGCTGTGTTGCTGATAAATCTAAAGGAAAGTTTACTGTTGATAATGTTGTTACAGGTGCATCTCTCCAAAAAATCGATCAGGTTATGTTTTCTTATTTATTAGCTTATGAAATTCCCCTTTTTGTTATGTTGTTTTGATATGAGAACCATTTTTGCGAGTTACTGTTATAAATTTTGCAAATTAATGAGTTTCTTGCTCTAGCTTTCTGGATTTTATGAACTTGCTTATGTTTTGCGGTTACTTGTTGAGTAGATTATTTTATGAACACCAAGTGTTCGATGAAATGCCTCAATGAAAAAACCTCCACAAATAAATCAAGAACAAGGTGGTGTATTTATTGTTGCAGTTTGTAGGTGCTTGTTGACTGTTTTTTTTTGCTGAAATAGCATCATTTTGATGTCTCTGTTTAATTTGCCTCTGTTTTTTTGATTGGCCTTTATTTCCCCAAACATATTCACAACTTGAATGTTTTGTTGTTAAGATTATAAACTGGATTTTATATTTTTGCATAGTTTCCCCAAACATATTTTGATATCTTTGTTTAATTTGCCTCTGTGTAGGACTCGGAAGAGGTGACTTAAAGAGCTTAATGGGTTAAGTTGGCAACTTAACCCTAATAAGTATGAAAGTGACATTTTATTTGAAAATCCTTAACTTTGAACCCTCATTAAGCCAAACATTAAGGCCCTTAGGTTAAATTGAATTTCACATCTCCATAGTCTGATAAGTAACCAACAATCATGTTAAAAGTGATAAACTTAAGGCTTAACCATTCATTCCTTAATAGAACACCAAAAATAATTTAGAAGATATTATGATCAATTTTCCCAAATCTGTCCTCCAACTTCTAAAATTCGTGCAAGTTAATACGAACATGTAAAAATCATGAGACTTAGTTTTCTGGAAATCTTAGTGTGTCTACTTTCTTCAAACTTTGAATTACATTTCGAAATTCCAAATCCTTGAGGGGTAAAATTGGCAATCTTCTCAGGCTGGTGCATGCTGTCACAGATTTCATGCACTGTCTTCAAAAAATCATAATAAATTCATCAGAACTCCAAATGCCAAAATTCCAAAGCCTATAGGTAGATATGGATGTACAGTTTCCAACATATAAAGGGACTGATGTAAGTCTTAGTAGATTGATACAGTTTATTCCAAGAGTGTCGAGTGGTCCAGAAAGTGACAGCTAAAAGTTACAAACTTGTAAATTTAATATAAAATAAGCCAAAAATCATTAGAATGAAATCTTCATATTTCTGAAAAGATAAAAGGGGGAACTTTACCAATATAATTTTATCAAAATTTAATAATGGGTTGAAAGGTAATAAAACATATCCCAAACAGAGGACTACAATCAAAGAGAAAATAAGGAAATATGTAAATAAGTTTGATAAGAGTAATACAACAAAGCACAAACTAAATAATGTTATAATTGTTGTGTAGGTTCTTGAAAAGGAAAGGATCTATCTTGCTCACGCTAGCTGATTTTCAACTTCAATGAGGTGAGTTACACTAAGTCTCCTATTACGTGTACATAATCACATATGATTTATGTGGCTAAGATTCATTTTCGCGTTCTCGATTCAATAATGGTTTTTTCCACTTTAATCATATGTGATTAAATACATTTAATCAGATGTGATTATATTTTTCTAATCACATATGATTTATTTGGAAAAAATGAATCCTGTCTATATAAATCATATATGATTGGATACATACAATCACATATGATTATATACACGATAACAAATATTGAACAAAGAACACATAAATAAAACTTTATCCAAATTAATCATATGTGATTAAATACATATAATCAAATGTGATTATATGAATCTAATCACATATGATTTATGTGGACACAATTCATTTTCGCTTTGTCGATTCAATAGTTGTTTTCATGTATTTTATCACATGTGATTATATGTATAATCATATGTGGAAGTACATGAGCACAACTATTGAATCGAGAAGGAAAAAATGAACCTTGTCCAACTCAAATCATATGTGGTTATATACATATAATCACATGTGATTAAATACACAAAAGCAATTATTCATCAAAACCGCAAAAACAAATATTGTCTACATAATCATATCTGATTAAATACATATAATCACATGTAATTATATGTATCCAATCATATATGATTTATGTGGATACGATTCATTGTCACATTCTCGATTCAACAATTGTTCTTTGTCAACTTTAATCATATGTGATTAAATACATATAATCAAATATTTTCTACATAAATCATACCTGATTAAATACATATAATCACATGTGATTATATGTATCCAATCATATATGATTTATGTGGATACGATTCATTGTCACATTCTCGATTCAGTTATGTCTGTCAATTGTAATCATATGTGATTAAATACATATAATCACATGTAAAATATATGTATTAATCAATATGATTTATATGGACAAAAAATAATGATGCCATAAATCACATGTGACTAGATACATATAATCACATATGATTATATACACGAGAACAACTATTGAATCGAGAACACAAAGATAAATATTGTCCACAATTATCACATGTGATTATATGTATCTAATCACATGTGATTATATGTATCTAGTCACATGTGATTATATGTATCTAATCACATAGAATTTATGTGGAAAATATTCATTTTCGCGTTCTCGATTCATTTTGTTGTTCTTGGTATTTAATTACATGAGATTATATGTATCTAATTAGATATGATTTATCTGGACAATATTCATTTTCACATTCTTGTTCAACATTTAGTCACATATGATTTCTGTACACAAGATTCATTTTCGCGTTTTTGATTAAATAGTTTTTCTTTTTCCACATTAATCATATGTGATTAATACATAAAATCACATATGATTAAATACATAAGAAAAAATATGAATCATGAATATTATCAATATAAATCATATGCGATTTGATACATATAATCCACATGTGATTAAGTACATGAATACAACTATTGAATTGAGAAAGAAATAATGAATCTTGTCCACATAAATCATATGTGATTAAATACATATAATCACATATGATTAAATATATTAGAACAATTATTGAATTGACGCAAGAATAAATATTTTCCATACGAATCATATGTGATTAAATAAATATAATCACATGTGATTAAATACACAAGAACAACTATTGAATCAACACGTGAAAACAAATATTGTCCATGTAAAATCATATGTGATTAAATACATTTAATCCATATGATTTAATACACGATGCCATTATTAAATCAAAACACGAAAATAAATACGTCCCACGTAAATAATATTTTATTAAATACATATAATCACGTGTAATTATATGTATTTAATCACATATGATTACCCGGACAATATTCGTTTTTGCATTCTCGATTCACTAGTTTTTCATGTGTATTCAGTCACATGTGATTATATGTATTTAATAACATATAAATCATATATGATTCGATACATATAATCACATGTGACTCGATACATATAATCACATGTGATTATATACACGAGA